CAGAAGTCCGTGGCAAACATAAGTGGGAAGGAACATTTGTCACACCTCTAACCTGGGCTGTTATGTTTCAGGTCATCCCACCCACCTCATCCCTTACTTAATTTATTTTCCTTGGTGGGCCCTCTTTTATTTACAGGCCTACCTTTACGTTAGTTTTGGAACACCACAACTGCATTATCACCACCACTAACTGTTACATACTCCATTATGTTTTCGAACACAAATCAATCAATCAATCTATCCTTTTATTTAAAAATAGCTTGAAGTACACATTTTATTTTTTATTCTCAATATAAACAAGTATATAAAGACCATTAAACCTATATGTTTTTATATGAAGCTAAAATTACTGTTTCAGATTAATAATTTTAGATGTATAGAATAGAATGCGAACTTGTGGGTTAGTGATGGTTCAGCATTTTTGTAGCCAGTGCAAACCTTGAAGGAATTAAGTAATTGGTACTCTGTTATCAGTCTGTTTCACATTCCATAGTTATTAATTGAAGATTATGCTAGCTTGAGTGTACTAATAATCTTAATTTTGATAAGGACAGGAGGCGAGTATTTTGCATTAACTCTCTTTACTAAACTCCATAGCAGTAAAGAAAACGTAAAGAATAACAGTAAATCAATGAGCAGCATAGTATATATAAAAGTCATGCTGCCTAAACACTTCCTCTTTCTTTAAGCGACATCCAAGTCCTGACTGAACACTGAATCAACAAAACCAAACGAAACCAGTGGAGCGCTGAACTTGTGGAGACTCCCGATCATCAAAACGAAGAGGATGAGAGACCACGAAGTCATCAACAGACGGAGTTGTGGGTTATCCCGAAATTACATGCATTGGAGGTCCTGGAGAGGGTTACATTGAAAAGGAGAGTATAAAACAGGTTAGGTACTGAAGCGTAACTGGTCAAGCAGATGAGCCTTTATAAGCATGCGTAGTATATATATACAATACGGAGTAGACCACAATAACGATATTATACACTAAGCCATGCTCCTGAAAACTATTTAAACTCAGGTCCCTACAACCTGCACCGAAACGGGAACCAGAGTAGACCACCATATGCTAAAGGGGTAAGACAATGAATCTAACCTGTGATAGTAAATATCCGTTACCTCGAGATCCATCCCCCCAGGTGTGTCAAGGGAGGGAACACAAGGGAGGGAAAATTAAGATTATTAGTACACTAAAGCTAGCATAATCTTAAATTTTATAACATGACAGGAGGCTTTCTATTTTGCACTTTAAACGCTGAAGTAGAGATAACCCAGCAGAAGGAGGAGTGCAGAAATAGAAGGTATGAAAGGTAGATTCCCTAGACCAATCCGCCACCTGCAGAATATCCGTCAATGACGCTCCCGCCAAGAAGGCTGAGGAAGCTGCCGCCCTGCGTACGGAATGGACACCGAATGAGGGGTCTATACCGGCAAGAGAAAGGATCCAGCGAATCCATCAAGCTAGTGTGGTGACAGAGACAGGGGCGTGGGGCTGAACGTAGGACACCAGGAGTTGGCCCGACGCCGAGTTCCGAAGAGGGAGCTCAAAAGCGTCGTCATCAAAAGCACGTACATCAGACACCCGATGGAAAGACACCAGGCAAAGCAGGAGAGCGAACGTAGCTGACAATTGTCGGAGGGACAAATGTTCGTTAGGGTGCCAATCCCGGATGAAGTGGAGGACCAGCCCGACGTCCCAGAGACGGGTGTACTTGGGGCCTGGAGAGCAGCGTAGCCGCATACCGTGGAGAAGTCGGCAAACTAGAGGATCCTTGCTAACCGGGAGGTCCCCGACGGGAGTGTGAATGGCAGAAATCGCCGAACGAACAACGTTAATGGAGCAGTAAAATCAGCCCGTCGAAAACAAGGACGATAGAAAAGTAAGAATCAAGGATATAGGAGCTGTAAATGGATCGGAGTCCTGTTCCACGCACCAAGTAGACCAGGAGGCCCAAGCTGAAAGGTAGAAGCGTCTAGTTCCGGGGGCCCAGCAGCCTGCGATAGTCCGCCGACCTGCCAGGAACCCCTAAAAGAGTCCAAGCCACAAAGGGCAGACGATCTTCCAGTAGTAATGGGTGAAGATTCCCTTTGGGATCCGTGAGGAGGTTCGAGAAGGACGGTAGGAGTAGAGGGTCCTTGCATGAGGAGGCCAGAAGGTCCAGGAACCACGGTTGGCTCTGCCATAATGGCGTTATGAGAGTCAGTGTCACTTGCTGTGTCCGGAGCTGGTGTAGAGTTTTCGCAATCATAGCAAATGGGGGAAAAGCATAGGCCCCACTGGTCAGCCAACGTTGGAGAAATGCGTCCGTCACCTTGCTTTCTGAGTCCGGGAGCCAGCTGAAAAATTTCGGAGTCTGGTGGTTGTTGCGGGAGGCAAACAGATCCAGATGAAAAGGACCCTTCCGGGCTGTGATGAACCGGAATACTCTTGTGTCCAGCTTCCAGTCGCTGACGTCCCTCCAATGACGAGAGAACCAGTCCGCCGTGAGGTTGATCTCTCTGGGGAGGTATTCGGCCTGGAGTGCAATGTTGCGGGGAAGACAGAAGTCGAAGATTCGTGATGTCCGATAGGAGGCGGGAGCGTGCACCTCCCAGGCGATTGATATATCGGACTGCGGAGACATTGTCCATGCAAAGGAGGATGCAACAGTTGGATTTTCTCCGAGCCAGGCTGCGGATCGCGAAGGAACCCGCTAGGAGTTCTAGGCAATTTATGTGCATGGAGAGCTCCTATGTTGTCCATGTTCCCCCCATGGAAGTGGTTCCTCTGGTAGCTCCCCAGCTCCTTAAGCTGACTTCGGACTCCAGTATAAAATCCGGAGTGTCTCCGAATATGGCCCTGCCATTCCAGGCCACCATGACAGGTGAATTAGGCGTATGTTGCGAGGGTCAAACATAGCCTGACCCATAGGGTCCAGAATGGTGTCTGAGTCAAGAGGGGGGTCTGCATCCGCAGGATCCTCGCTCCTCTCCGTTTAGGCCGCACTCAGGAGGATCTCACGCATAAAAGCAGAGATGGACTTATCGTCCGAACCCCAAGTGTCATAGTCCGAGTTGGATAGGCCTGCCTGCCACTCGTCCAGAACTGACATGGAGTGTGACAATGCGTGGTCTTCTTCAGAAGAGTGGTCCTGACGTGGGCCGGGTACTGAATTTGGAGGATTTATTATATTTGGCAGGCGCCTTATATGTAGTGCCCTCGCCTATCCAGTGGCGTTTACATGGGCGTGAATCCTCCCTGGTATGGTAGTCTGAGACATCGGAGTCAGACTCGTGGTGAGGGCGTCTGCAGGATGGTTTGGGTAAATCAGGAGCCGCAGCTCGCACTTTGGAAAGTGCCTTCTCCACAGAAGCAGCGACATCTGCATTAATCATAGTCTGGAAGTCCACAGGGGTATTCTGGGAGTCTTCCATAGTATAGGGTAGGCTTGTGATACACGTCACGGATAGGCACTATAGTAATGGCACCCAGGTCTTAGGTAGTGTGGCTTGGGATCAGCTAATGTAGTGGTTATGGTAGAGAATAAATCTGTCCAATAAAACCCCAGCAGAGTATAGTTGGTGACCTTAATTAACTGGGGCTCACCCAGTTAGAGAGAACTGCAAAAGCTAGTCTCCCAATAAGCAGCACAGTACTTGGATACATATAATAAGGGCTCACCCCGGTAGCACAGGGATTGGAACCCTTAAGTGCAGGTCACAAGTATACACAGGCAGCAGCACTGACCTGACTGCCGAGCCAAATGAATGCAGGGAACTTCTGATATTGTAGCAGGCACAGGGGCACCAAGGTAGGGCAGTAGAAATGAAGCTCCGCTCCTTACAGGGAGAGCAGAGGTATACAGGGAGGGTGAGAAATCCGTTGGCAGTACACACGCGGCAAAACCAAGTTGGCCGCACGTATCTCGCAAGATGCGCGATCCAAGATGGCCACCGCGTGTGTAGGCCACAAAAGCCGGGGACTAAATTAAAACCCGGTCGCGGTAAAAAAAGTCGGCGCGGCCGAGAATGAGGACGTACAGAAGGTAGTCCCCAGATCCCAGGGCAGTGGGACAAACTCAGGGAAGTAACTGAGGTAGAAACCCGGGTCCCAGGGCCGAAATAAGTGGCAGGGAGAGGGAGGAAAACCCCTATGAAGCCCAGCCAAATAAACACACTGCTCATAAGAGCAGTAACAGTAGATAATGTAAATAACAATGTAAATAAAACAGAAATATACTTATTAAAAGGTAAAATAACAGAGAAAATACAATAAAGGTATGAGGCTCTGGGAGAGCCAAAAGTCTGACATGTCTGCGATGGAGCAGTAAAGAAAGAGGAAGTGTTTAGGCAGCATGACCCTTATATATACTATGCTGCTCATTGATTTTATGTCAAGACACGGAGGCTCATATTGCATGTCCACCAATAGCAGCAAAGGATACAAACAGTAAGAAAAACAGTAACCATAGAGATAGGACACTCCCATATCCAGTCCCAGTATAATAGGCAGCACCTTCCCATCCAATTCCTCTTTCTTTGCTGCTACCAAACAGATAAGTACATGACTAATTCACCCTATCATAGCCTTATGGTTTTTTGTCTACTGTTTTTCTGCACTATTGACTCTTGCACTGCTGATAACTTTTACCATTCACTGGTTTATTATTGCTGGTAATTTGTATATATTTTGACTTTATGTGTATATTTTGTTTGACCCCAGGGTTCCAGACCCCTCTGTCCGGCTTAATCCTACTCTACCTTTACTGGTACCTCCTTGTTAAGCTCTAGGGCTTCCTTTTCTCCCTCCATTACACTGCCGGTCTGCCTGTCACTTTGGCGCCTTTTTCACCCATTCTCCTCCTCCCATTCGACTGTTCTTTCTCCTGTTATTCCCTCACACTGTTCGGCTATTCACGAATTTGGCTATTCACGAATTCACCCATTCACATTATTGCCTTATTCACCTTCTATTCTCCTGTTGCTGCATTCGAATTTTCTATGCGAACGCCTGACTCATTCACCTTTTATGTGTTTCCCCTATGACTCCATATGCATTCACTATTTTCAGCCGAACGGTCGGCTCTTTCTCCCTATTTGGCTAGAATTCTGCCGCGAATCTCGCGAGATTGCCGGCGGCCATTTTCAATCACTCACTTTTCTCCCCATTCCTCGTGTCCTCTTCCTATCTGCCGGTCTGGACCCTGGTGAGCTCCCTCATTTTCTCCCTTTTAGCTATAACTAGCCTGGGGTGATTAACTCCTGCTAGTTGCATCCTCATCTCTTAGAACAGTGCTTCCTAATATTTAGCAGCTCTATATAATACTTTCTATTCTCTACAAAATATATGTATATTTTATTTGTGTCCTGAAATTACTATTCCTTGTTATTATGCCTAGACCTAAAGGGGCTGCTTCCCCCCTTTCCCCTGGGGATATGGATATACCCCATGTGCTGGATAACCCTAACACTGCCAGCTCTGGCCCCCCTTCTTCTGCGGGTGACCCTATGTCAGTGCCGGATGATGCCCGGGCCTTGGCAATGCAACGTTCCATTACAGACGCCATTATGGCCGCCATGGGCTCCATGTCCTCGGCCCTGTCCCAGACTATATCTCAGGCCTTATTGGCACAACCTGTGCCCGCAGAAGCATCGGCCACACCTACGCACTTACCGCGCTCCTCTTTAAACCCCTCAGGGGACAATCCTAGAAAGGCAAAGGCCAAATCTAGGGACCTAAGCCCTCCTGCCTCCAGAAACAACAAGACTGGTGTGAAAATATCCACCCATGATAGCGTGCCTATGTCACGCAAAAGAGCCTTTCCGCGCCAGGCAGAACGGGCGCGGCACTGGAAATGTGCCAGAGCACATGCAGAGAGCGACTCTGATTCAGAAATCGGGTCTTGTGAGGAGGCTATAGATGAGTCTGGAGATGACTCCAATAACGAGACTGACGGGTAGGACACTGACCCTTCCGCCCCTACCCTATCAGGGTTGGCAATTAGTGGCTCTCGCAGCGACTCTCCCGCTACCGCGGGTTCAACCCTCATGGACCCGGCTGGGGAACCTATGTTTGACCCGGATGCTCTCCATCACCCGAGGTCGGCAGAATGGCTCCCAGCCGCCCATGTAGCAAAATACCTAGAGAACTGGGTACGGCGCCCCCTTAGCAAGACGGTGCGCAACAAGCTCAGGGCAGAATGTCCTAGACCCCTGATCCCCAACAAGGTCTGTGAGACTCCTATTGTAGACCCTAAGATGACGCAGTTTCTTTCTAAGATGGGTTGGAATCCCCGTAAGGGTTTGGACTCAGCATTAAAATCATGCCAGGACAAACACCTGGACATTTTTGGCCCCCTAGCTAAATTATTCGACCTGACCGAGCTAGCCAGAACCGAGAACAGACAGGTTGACCCGGAAGAACTCCGTGGTTGGGTACAGAGGGCAATATGCATAGCAGGTAGCGTTAACACCTCCCTGTCTATAGAGCGGCGTAAAGCCATCCTTTTCAAAATCGAGCCTAAATTGGCCAACCTCGCCCTCACGGAAGCGGGCAAAGATGCCCAGGGCCTGTTATTCGGAGACTCCTTTATCAAGGATTTGGGGCGCTTCGTAGGTGCTTTCACAGCCCTAGACAAGGCCCAGTCCTCCATGAAGAGGGTGTTTCACGGACGGGTCTCTACCAGGGCCGGCAGATTCAGGGGCCGTCTGTCCGGCCGGTCAAATTTCAACTCCCGAGGATCGGGACGAGGCTCTTATAATCAGAGACCGCCTTATCAAGACACAAGGCACCAGTCTCCCTTCTTCCCATCTCGTGGAAGACCATGGCGCTCCAGAAGCTTCAGAGGGAACCCCGGTTCCAGACGCCCTTACGGTAAGACTACACCTACCTCATGTTTTTTCCAATACCTGTGTAGGGGACAGACTCCGTCATTTTTTCCATGCCTGGTTAGATATCACCTCAGATACCTGGGTTCTGGCCACTGTGAGGGGGTTTCACATAGAATTGGTAGACACCCTGTGTCGTATTCCTCCCCCTCACCCTATGGTACTTTCAAAGGCAAACCATGCCTTAATAGACGAGGAGCTATTGTCACTCCACACGAAGGGAGCAATAGAACGAGCTCCGCTGCCCCATTCTGGTGTCCTCAGCAACATCTTCCTTGTGGTAAAGAAAGGCGGCCAGATGCGCCCCGTTATAAACCTTCGGACCCTAAACTCCATAGTGCGCTACCGCCACTTCAAAATGGAGGGCATCCACCTCCTTCGAGACTTACTCCTACGCAGAGACTGGATGGCGAAATTAGACCTCAAAGATGCTTATCTGACAGTCCCGGTGACCGAGTCATCCAGGGACCTACTACGATTCCTTTGGAAAGGCAAGACGTGGCGATTCACATGCCTCCCTTTCGGACTCTCATCAGCTCCGTGGTGCTTCACCAAATTGATGCGACCGGCCATGGCGTGGCTGCGCAGTCGCGGGGTAAGACTGATAGTCTATCTGGATGATATCCTCCTCATGGCACAAGATCGGGGGGTCCTCCTAGAACACCTTCAATGGACAATGGATCTAATTGTGTCGGCTGGGCTTCCTGCTCAACGAGGAAAAATCCTGCCTATCCCCTTCCCGACACATGGAGTTCCTAGGGTTCACGGTAGACTCAGAAGCGGAGTCTCTCAGCCTCCCTCCGGCCAAAATACGCTCAATCCGCAAGGAACTGCGACGAGCCCTGACGCGCCACCAGCTGTCTTTACGACACCTGGCACGACTCATTGGACTACTGGCCTCCTCCATCCAGGCAGTGTTCCCAGCTCCGCTCCATTGTCGGGCGCTCCAGCGCCTGAAGATAGCACACCTTCGCAAAGGGGCCTCGTATGCAGATTTGGTCTCCCTGGACTCGGAATCCCGAGACGAACTGATCTGGTGGATCCACAACCTATCTGCCTGGAATGGCAAGGCCATCTTCGGCTCCCAACCGGAGTTCACGGTGGACTCGGACGCAAGCCTCCACGGCTGGGGCGCACACTGCAACGGTGTGACCACCGGGGGTCGCTGGACAGAAACCGAGTCCCGACTCCACATCAATGCCCTGGAACTACTAGCCGGTTCCTTTGCGATCCGGAGCTTTGCGAACGGCACGGCCAGTGCATGCATCAGGCTACGTATGGACAACATTTCAGCGGTTCGCTATGTCAACCACCTGGGCGGCACACACTCAGCGATACTGGCCAGTTTAGCGAAAGATTTCTGGAACTATTGCTTTGCCAGGAACCTGATGGTCCAGGCGGAATACCTCCCCGGCCTTCACAATACTCATGCGGACTGGAGCTCACGCTATCTATCAGACAGCAGCGATTGGAAATTGGATACAGAGGTGTTCTCCACTATCTCGTCCCTCTGGGGACCCTTCACCATCGACCTCTTCGCTTCCAGGCTCAACGCCCCACTACCCCGGTTCTACAGCTGGCGTCCAGACCCGGCCGCGGAAGCAGTGGATGCCTTCCTACAAGAATGGTCCGGCTCACACCTTTACGCTTTCCCTCCATTTGCCATGCTTCCCCGAGTGCAACTCCAAGTACGACACCAGATGGCGGATTTGGTCCTACTAACCCCATTCTGGGGTACCCAGTCGTGGTTCCCACAACTCCTGGAACTGGCAATAGACATTCCCGCACTCCTGCCATCCAAACAGGACCTTCTGCTGAACACGTTGGGCCAACAACATCCCCTCCTACTGGACGGATCGTTACGGCTACTCGCATGGAGGATTTCAGGGGTCCTTGGGAAGTCCAAGGAGTTTCGGACACAACTCGACGCCTCCTGGCTGACGCATGGGCTCCCGGCACTAGACGCTCATACGGGACCGCTTGGAGAGCTTGGACTGGTTGGTGCCTGGCTAGGGACCTGGATCCCGTGGCGGCTCCTGTGACGGCGATACTCCAGTTCCTCACATCATTATTTGAAGCGGGCCGAGCATATCGCACGATTAACCTATACAGATCGGCCATCTCCTCAGCTCATCAGGGTTTCAACGGCTGCCCAGCGGGCCAACATCCCTTGGTGTGCCGTTTACCTCACGCGTCCCCCCAGACCTCGATACACAGCCACATGGGACGTATCCTGCGTCCTATCACTGTTTTCCTCCTGGCCGACCAACTCGGACCTCACCCTGCAACAACTCTCTGCCAAGTTGGTATCACTATTCTGCCTCATTTCGTGCAAAAGAGTCTCAGAGGTACGTGCCCTGGACCATGATGCGAGATCCTTCACCCCGGACGGGGTGACATTCAATATCTCCAGAAGGACTAAGACGGCCATAAGTTCAGTCTCGTACCCGAGTTTCCCAACTACCCCTAAGTTGTGCCCAGTGACCTGTTTGAGAGAATACAAACTTCGGACGAAGGCCCATCGGTCGGCTTCAACTCCTCAACTTCTCCTCTCAATCCGTCAACCCTTCGCCCCAGTATCCAGCACGACTCTGGCTCGTTGGGTGAAGTGGGTCATGTCACAGGCAGGTGTAGACACATCCATTTTTAGCGCCCACTCCACACGTGGGGCTTCAGCCACTTCTATGGCCTCTTCGGGGGCACGCCTGGAAGACCTTATGAGAATGGCGGACTGGTCCAGAGAATCCACCTTCAAGGAATTCTACTTTCGACCTCAGCCTCATGTTTTCTCGTCGGTCATTGCTCAGCTTTAAACTTGCAATATGAGCCTCCGTGTCTTGACATAAAATTACATGATTTTTCTATTTCATGACGAAAAGTCATGATTTTATGAAAGACACGGAGGCGAGTATTGCTCCCTTTTACTTATTTGTATAACCTTTTTCCCCCCCTGTTATATCTCGTTTTACTGCGGTAAGTATAGAATTGCGCTCCATCATGTATGACTTATATGTACATCTGAATCATGACACTACACATACCTGGGGATTCTTGACTTAAAGAATGGGGGGACACTAAGGGGTGACTTGATTTCCAATGTATCGTATCTTGGCATGTACAATTGGTGTTAGTACCGATTTAACCTTTGGGCTCCTGTTATGTTTTCACAGGTTGACTCACTTCTGGATGCATCGCATGAAGTGCATCTCTCTACACAGGACTTCTCCAAGTTAGCTGGAGTTCGGTGGTTAACGCTGAGATGGACTCCCTATGGTTAACGTTTCATCATTCGTTCCTGGTTTTGTCCCTGTTATTGGGCATCTTCTGGTCAAGTATCCAGATGGACTTTGGGCCGTTGCCCTTCTAGTTCTGGACTGTTCCTGGTTTCTTGCTTGCTGTTGGCAGGTAGCATCTCCAAAGAAAGAGGAATTGGATGGGAAGGTGCTGCCTATTATACTGGGACTGGATATGGGAGTGTCCTATCTCTATGGTTACTGTTTTTTCTTACTGTTTGTATCCTTTGCTGCTATTGGTGGACAGTAAAGAAAGGGATATGCAATACTCGCCTCCGTGTCTTTCATAAAATCATGACTTTTCGTCATGAAATAGCAAAATCATGTAATTTACTGTTATTCTTTAAGTTTTCTTTACTGCTATGGAGTTTAGTAAAAAGAGTTAATGCAAAATAGGAAGCCTCCTGTCATGTTATAAAATTAAGTTATATATCATAATACATTTAATGCATCAGTTTACTACTCCATGGAAGGGCTGTAGATTAATGTCACACAGATAATTAAAAAAAATGTTACATACATCAATCATGAATATTAAAGAAATAGATTCAATGGACAACTTTCCAATTCAAGTTTCACAATGAACTCCCGGCAAACTGAATCAAAATACAATATAAATTTCACATTATTATCTGTATAGTGTTGTGTATTTTAAACAATTATATCAACTGTCCACGTGACTTTATTACAATAATTCCAAAAATATATCATGCCTTATTTTATGCGTCCGATGACCTAGAATAAGTAATCAGATTAATTTATTACCAATATGAACAGCCACAATGAATTTTAATGATCTTTTGATTTTTTTTTAATCTCATGTTGATTATTTGATTAATCTGGCTTTAAAAGTTTTTCTTTCTTGGGTATTTTAAAACCCCCTTTCAGTACTTATATATTTAGGTCCTACATTGAGTGGCCAGGCTGGATTAAATGGTGTCCCACGGGAGTGCAGTAGGATTCCATTGTTAATGTTTTGGTTTGGTTTGAATTTGAATTTTTACTCACAGCCAGCAGCCCCCTGCCCAAGTCAGTCAGCAGCCCCATGTCCCCCTCACACAGCAGCCCCTGCCCTCCCTCTCAGCCAGCAGCCCCCTGCCCCCCCTTCCCACTCAGCCAGCAGCCTCCTGTAACCCCCTCAGCCAAAAGCCAGCTGACAGCCAGGCTCCAGCAGCCTCCAGTCCCCCCTCTCAGCCAGACAAATAGACAAACATGAAGTTTCCTCCCTCTTAGCCAGCAGCTTCATGTTCCCTCTCACACCCAGCAGCCTCATGTTTCCCCTCTCCCAGCAGATTGTCTCCGCCTCTCACACAGCAGCCCCAGCCCCCTTTTGTCCCAGTCCGGCCCTTGTAAGAAGAGATTGGTAATAAGCAACTCCCAAGGATCAGGCAGCACAAACATTCCAGGATGTTCACTACAACACACAAACATTGAACACAGATCTTTTTTGTTAGTCCTTTTAATTACCTTTTTTTTGCCTCACTTTTTTCCTGTTATAAGTTCTGTTAAAAGTAAAAATACGATGTGCACTTTGTCTAGAGATGACATGTACAGGTCTTAATATCCTTTTGTTAACTTCAGCATATAGGTGCTGCATTTAACTGTTTGTAAAAATGTGTAACAGTACAGTCAACTATGTCAAAGTGTGATATTCTGTACACTTAGAATAATGTACATGTCTTTAATGGTACATGTATGTTATCACAAATGATGCAACTCAATAAACAATATAAAATAAACAAAAAATAAATACAAATAAGAATATAAAACTAAATATAAATAAAAATAAATATAAAAATAAAAATAAAATACAAATAGGAATAGAAACAGATTGCAGCCTGCATCTCTTGTTCACGGACGACGCTGATGCGAACATCTCCAACGCTGAATTGCCTGACCTGACGCTTGAAGCCTACACGTGTCAGAACCGCAGGGAGACAGCCGCTCTCCCGGTTCCCAGGCCTGTTTCCACTGCAGGGAATTTTGGTTCTATTTTATATATATATTTTTCTATTTGGTATTCTATTTTATATGTCACTTGAGCATGTTTAACCACATGTATTAAGGCAGTTTTGGCTGTATTTGTGGGAGGGGCTTAAATTAATTCACTCCCCTATATAAGGGACACCCCTTACCTGACTCATATCGCTTGAGGTCAGCATCAGAATGATTTCCACTTCCGGGTCATCCAGACGCCATTTTACCTGATTACTCCATGAGGTTTTCTAAGCTGAGCTGTGTCAGGAATCCAGCCACAGGCTTTTCCGGCCTACCACCTTCTTTCTTCAATCTATCGCTGTGGATGGTGTCCAAGTGACTCACAAACCGTAAGTCGACCTACCCGTTACGCCAGGCATCAGTCCCACGGCACCATGCAAGGGTCAGGTCCTCACTTTACTGCTGCATTTTGTCTAAGTCTGTTCTAAAACCATTGCATGTTCATGCATATCATTCGTTTAAACCCCCTACCAGTCTTTGGGTGTACTACAGACTTCTTAGACATTATCGCATTTCATGTACAAACCAATGAACCACTGCATTTTTGCCTACACACTGACCCCTACCGGTCATTCGGTGTACTACAGGCTTCTTAGACATTATTGCATTTCATGTACAAACCAACGAACCACCGCATTTTTCACCTACACACTGACCCCTATTGGTCATTCGGTGTACTACAGGCTTCTTAGGCGTTGTTTGCATTTTCATGTACAAACCAATAAACCACTGCATTTTCACCTACACACTGACCCCTACTGGTCTTTCGGTGGACTACAGGCTTCTTAGACATTATCGCATTTCATGTACAAATCAACGAACCACTGCATTTGCGCCTACACACTGACCCCTACCGGTCATTCTGTGTACTACAGGCTTCTCCGACATTATTGCATTTCAGGTACAAACCAACAAACCACTTAATTTTTCACCTACACACTGACCCCTATCAGTCATTCGGTGTACTACAGGCTTCTTAGACATTATTGCTTTTCATGTACAAAACAATAAACCACTGCATTTTCACCTACACACTGACACCTACCAGTCATTCTGTGTACTACAGGCTTCTCAGACATTATTGCATTTTATGTACAAACCAACAAACCACTGCATTTTTCACCTACACACTGACCCCTATCAGTCATTTGGTGTACTACAGGCTTCTTAGACATTATTGCTTTTCGTGTACAAAACAATAAACCACTGCGTTTTTACCTACACACTGACACCTACCGGTCATTCAGTGTACTACAGGCTCCTCAGACATTATTGCATTTCATGTACAAACCAACGAACCACAGCATTTTCGCCTACATGCTGACCCCTACCGGTCAATCGGTATACTACAGTCTTCTCAGACTTTATTTCACTTCATAAGCAAACAAACTAACTACAGCATTTTCGCTTTTATACTGACTCCTATCTGTCAAACAGTAGGATTAACCCCTTAAGGACACATGACATGTGTGACATGTCATGATTCCCTTTTATTCCAGAAGTTTGGTCCTTAAGGGGTTAAAGGGTATTTTTACCATACAATCAGCATTTATGACCCCTACTGGTCAACAGCAAAACTGTCTTCACATGTCATATACAATTTACCAGCCAATATAAATTACACATAAGATTGTTTTAACCCCTTAAGGACACAAGACATGTGTGACATGTCATGATTCCCTTTTATTCCAGAAGTTTGGTCCTTTAGGGGTTAAACATAACCATAAACCATAATGAAACTCCAGCACGGGCTCAAATTCAGGTCTAATTCACAATAATTAACATTTCACATCAAGACCAACAGTGGTTCTATCAACACTGCCACCTACAGGTCTGTCAAGTACATTGACAATTTTCATGGGGTTTTACAAACACCAAAACACTTACACCTATAGGTCAACAGACAAACAACATTTCACATACCAATCAGTATCCAACTACACTGCCACCTATAGGGCACTCGGCAGATCTCCAGTGCACTTGCCTTTTGCAACACCATGTTCACTGACCCCTACCATTCA